TGCTGCAGTTACTGCGCAGCGACAACAGGTGACACTTTTCGGGGTTCAGGGGTAGTTGGTTGTTTACTTCCCATTCGTGAATCCGGTTCAGGTCATCCTGCAGATAGACAGGGTCAGATGTTGACTGAATAGCTCGCCACATCTTAGCATCGTCGGCGAATATTTGCATAGGTGATTGAATGTTGGCAGGGAGGTCGTTGATATAGACTAAAAGGAGTAACGGGCCGAGAACTGATCCTTGCGGTACGCCGCTAGTGACGCATAGGCTATCGGAGTGGGTGTTGGCGATCCTTACCTCGATTCTTCTGTCGTATAAGTAACTTTCCAACCATGTGAGCAAGGATCCGTGGATACCATAGGCCGCAAGCTTTCGGAGAAGTGCTGGGTGATTGACTCTGTCGAATGCCTTAGAAAAGTCTAAGTAAATCACATCTACGGGAACTCCCTCGTCAGCAGCCCTGGTCCATGAGTCCCGAGCAAGTAGTAGATTGGTGAGGCAAGATCGTCCGCGTCTGAATCCATGTTGGAGGTTGGAGATGATTTGTAGACTTTCAAAATATCTCACCATTTCATCAGCGATTATAGACTCCATCACTTTTGATAGAACAGGAAGGAGAGTAATAGGTCGGTAGTTGGCAGGGTCTGACCGCTTACCTCCCTTGTATATCGGAGTGATAAGTCCATGTTTCCACTCAGACGGAAGTGTATGAGAATCAAATAGAAACTGGAAAAAGGTTGCAAGGTGGACTGCCATGGTGGGTGCAAGGGTTTTAAGTACTTTCGGACAGATCTTGTCAATTCCCGGCGCACTATTTTCCCTGAGCGACTGTAATTTCTTTGCCACAGATGTAGGGCTAAAGTTGACCGTGGATAAGCCGACGACATTTGCTGGGATGTAGCAAGGCGATGGTTCCATGGTGTGTCTAGTCACTGAGACAAACTGCATGAGCAATGCGTCCGCGGTCTCCTGTTCAGTAACCGTTAGGCCATTGACCGTCTCTAGTGGTGGTATTCCCGTCTTAACCTTCCTTTTGTCATTCACATACCGGTAGAGCAGTTTGTGATTGCTAGTAAATTTGCGTACCATAGTTTCCTGCCATTCGTACTTGTCAGCTTTAAGGAGTGAAGTGCAGTAGTTTCTGACTGTTTTGTAATGATTCCACGTGATATCACTTGGATCTAGCAAATGACCCCTCCAAGCCTCGTCTCGCCTATTCAACCACTTACGTGTTCTACTCCGGATCCAGTTGTTGCTCCGTCGCGAAACTCGTAATGGTACGTTTTTTGAAGCTGATTGTAGGACCCAGTTTATCTTGCCTTTCAACACTTGCCAGGCATCATTCGCCGAAGTGTGCATCTGGAGGTCCCAGTCAACGGTTGTCGCTATAGTGTGAAGCTTGGAATAGTTGGTGATGAATCGTCGGGTTTCTGGTTCTTTGTCAACCATACTGGCATAACACACATAATCAAACATTAGAACTGAATGATCGCTACAACCTAGCGGGGGGTTGTATGAAACCGACTCAACCATTAACTCCTCATTAGTCAGGATTAAATCAAGTATTGAAGGCTTGTTTGAACCGCGGTGTCTGGTTGGTTGATCCACATGGTTATACAAAACTGCCATAGTCAAGAACTCAAGGAGTTTTGATTTGAAGCATGGCCCACTTGGGAACACAGATGCTATTGACGGTACATTGAAGTCACCCATTATTAGGTAGTGTGAGTACTTTTTCGACATAGCATATTGGAGAGCATTTAACAGAATATCATCGCTGTCGGCGGAGGAGTTCGGCGGCCTGTAGACAACTGCTATGAGGCAAGCATCATGTGTCTTCTTCTGAGGACAACCATCGGGACCGGATAGCTGCAGCCGGCAAAATAAGGCGTCGGGGATAATAAGGGAATGCTCAGTGAGAGCTTCACATTTCAGGTGATCTCGGTAGTAGATAGCAACGCCACCACCGCGAGATGGACGATCATTTCGAATGACTGACATTTCACTAAGTTTAATTTCTGGATCCAAAATCTCGTTTGAGAGCCAGGTTTCAGTTAATGCTATGATGTCCCAAGTTGCTGCTTCATGCCGATGGCGCAATTCCGGCAACTTGGAGTAAAGCCCTTGGGCGTTTGTGTAGCAGCATTGCATTTGTTGCCGCATTAGGAGGTGGGTTCGCTGTGTTTGACCGGCACAAACAGTGCCGGTCTGCCCACGTTTTTTGACACGAGTGTTTGCACGCTTGGCTGGTCTATGGTCGGAAAAGCCAGGTCTGACTCAACTGTACCAGTGGTCTGTACTGCTTGCAGGAATGGTCTCAGTCGTACTTCTGGTGGTCCTAGCCTTCTGCTGTGGTACCACACGTTAATTGCCATTGATGCCATCTCCGGCGTAGCCAAGGTAACTTTCAAAATTTTCGGCCCGCTCCCTTGATAGTTTGGGGAGGAAGCTAAGCGGCTGACGTCGAATACCACAACATTCTGCATGCCATAGAGTTCTGTGATGTAGCGCCACTCATCAATATCGTGTTTTTGTCTTTCACTGGTGTCGCCATGTTTCAGTTCGGGCACACCATGAACCAACACCACTTTCTTCATTACATTTTGACGAGACGCGGTTGGGTCAGATTTTCGCTTTTGTCTTTCCTTCCATGGCATGTCTGGAAAAATGCGGGCACTGAGAGAAGAGTTCGGTAGACTGTGGCTTGCTAAGAGAACATCCTCCAAGTCCTTTGTGTTGCCAAACGTTACTCGCAGTAACCGAGGTTCCCCTACGTGAGGAGACGATGGGTTTCGTGACAGACGTGCAAGACTAGTTGGGAGAACGTTTAGTCCTAGTGCGCAGCTTATCTCAGTCCAGCGATTTTGCTCTTCGGCTTGTCGACCTTTTAACGACTCGCTGGTGGGTTCTGGTACGTTTGAACAAATGACTGTCATCGCTTGTTGGTTGCGTAGTAATTTAGTTTGTTGCAGTTCTTTTTGGGTGTAGGTTTGTCGTGTGGGAGTGTTGGTCTTGTCTTGTGGGGAAGACAAGTCAAGGCTGTAGCAAGAATTCTCCTGTGCAACGACGTTATTCACACAGTTTGTAATGTGCTGCCCAGCTAATAGCGATGATCGTGCAATTTGTGCATAACTCTTTACGCCTTGCGGTACAACAGAAGATTTTATAGAATTTTCAACTGGCTTGGCATCACAGTTGTTTATCGCTAATGGTGCTTGTTTTTCGCCGGAACGTGTAACATTTTTAATGGATAACTTTGGTCTTTTGGTAGGTCTGGGGTTAGGGCTACTTAATACACTAAGCTGCAACTCGAGTTCAGCGATTTTCCCTCCCAAAGCCTTGACCAATTCTTTCTGTTCGGATGACGCAACAGCCAACATTTCACACCTCGCGTTGAGAGTTCGGATAATCTTGGCTATTGGGCTATCTGAACACGCATCACAGGACCACAAACTATTTGTTATTACGCTGCGGTTTCCGCCAAGTTCTGAGTTCACGTCCACTTCGTCGTAAGAATTTGCACACAAAGAGCACGTGATTTTTGTGATGACAGTTCTCCGCTTACTTGAGCCATGATTGACCTTCGTTGTTTTGTTCACGCGTGGACCCGCTGATAAACTTCGCCTTCCCATGGCTTAGTGACTCGTATGCACTTTAAATCACGCCGGTCGCACCGTCGCTGTCCGGGTTTGGTGGTGATGGGTCCTGGCGCAAGCGTGTATGGAATCACAAACACTTCGTGTGGTAGGGTGCACGAAGGAATATAGATGAAAGGACAAAATAGCCAGTATCTATGGTGTATGGTGGTGCACAGTACTAAGCTATATGTCACCTGATAGCTTTAGAAAAGCTCTGTAGAATGGTTTCTTAAATTCACTGAGATTACCTTGAAAAAACAAGCTTTCAAGCGTGGTTCTTAATGTACGAATTGCCGAAGACGCCAGTTGGGATGAAATAGCGAGACGGAGGACTTACTGCGCAAATATAAATCCCGTTCGATAGAACTCGGCGAGCCGAAACGAATGGGCGTATTTCCGAGAATGTAGCACAAAAAATGAACGGAATAATCCAGGATTACCACAGAGCACAGAATTATGCGACCGTCTGTGACCTTGACCGTGACTGTGACCGTGAAAGTAAACATCTCCCGGAACGATGTTTACACACATTTGGCCAACCGAGTCAGCGACTGAGCATGTGGGAGCACCTGAGTTGTCGGCATTTTTTCCTATTTAGCCATCTGTACCGCGAGTAGCAAGCAACGGGTAGTAAAACGAAGGTTAAATTAGCGCTCAGTGCATAACGACTTACATGACCCACACGGCGCAGGCACCATGATTCGTCTTGCCCTACAAATGCGAAATTCTGTGTCTTCACAAATGGGACGTTGTGCATGTGTCCTAGTTTGATAATCATTATCCTTGTGCAGCCAAGGTATGCTTTACCAGTAATATATAAATACCGATAGATATTGACAACATGTCTGAAAGAAACGGTCCTCCACTCGTTGGCCTTAAGTCGATAGAATATTTCACAAATACTAATCACTACGATATTCCGGTTGGGTTCCTGCGCCATGAGTGAGAACATGATAGCTTATTAGAGCTCGCTATTTTCCTCAGATGGCAGAGGAACATAACAAAAGTCATGGCTCCTGGTGACTTGTCACGGTCTACAAATGCGGATACTTACTGGTTGAGAACTCTTAAATGTGGCATGAATCATTTCAGTTGTTGCTGTGGCCTCAGCTTTTTCGTGCCAGACGCTGTGCAGATTTTAACCCTAGGTTCTAAAGTAAGGATCTTTAAATGGTTAGCATCCCTGTTGACATCGTTAATGAATAGCGCTCTATGTTGAAGTTTGCTTCGTTGACACAGTTTAAACTGCAGCTGGAATGCATAGTGAGAAGCGGGTATTCGTAAAAGGTAGAGCAATGGTGCGTGCATACAGACAAGTGACTGTGAATATCAAGTCTACGATATGAGTTGGTTTTAGAATGTTGTTATCGCCTTGATACAGTTCCGAACTGTACAACCCTGCGGCGGGAATTCAAACGGCTTTCACTTTGAGATGTATCCGTTTGCGACAACTCCTCGTGATCCTCGGCTTCAGATGCATCTTCTGATTCACCTTCATTTCCATTATTTTGTTGTACTGCTTCACTTTCTTCTTCTTCCTCCTCCTCTCCACTCTGTCCTTCGTCATCGAGCTCTTCTTCTTCGTCCGTCTCCTCTGTTTCCGATTCTTTGTTCGTGACTGTTCTAGTCACCTCGGTATTCGATTTGGTGCTATCGGTTTCTGTGCATGACCCAGTTGCTGTTCTAGCCTCACTGATATTTGAATTACTGTCGTCGGTACGGTCTCCTGTTCTGGAAACCTTGCCCGTTGCTCTGCTTTTGGACTCATAACGCGCAAGCCGGAGTTTCGATTCTTGCTTATCAGCACTTAGGTCACTGCTGCTCTCAGAAAATGTTTCGCTGTTATTTGCTCTGGAATACGTATATGTCGAACTTCTGCTTGAGTGGCTTGCTCCGCTTTGAACATTTGACCTTTCGAACTGGGTAATAGCTTGCTGAGACGTTGTAAAGTCACCCAGAAGAGGATCGTTGGTCGGCAGAATAGTGCTATCGGTTAAGGCTTTGTCTATACTGTCTGCATTATCCTCGTCTGACGTCGGGATCTTCCTTCGTAGGTTCTGTTGGGTTCGGGTGTTCTCCAACTTCTCTTCCAGCTCACGCCTTAATTCGGACCGTAATAATTCCGGTGTACTGATCGATTTTTGTTTCACCTGCTCCCGTAATGCTTCCAAAATTTTTTCATGCTGATGTACCAGTGCGATCTGTTTAGCCACTTCATCCAACAAGAGAGAAATCTTCATCTCGAGAAATTGTTTCTGCTTCTTTAATTTCTTATTTATGCGCTTGAGGTCATCAACATCCTCTTCTGATGAGCCAGCTTGAGCAACAGGCGCGGCGGTCGCATTCTCAGTCACTAACCTCCACACACCCTCCGCGTCTGCAAGCCATTCTGCTTGATAGGCTCCCAGTCGACAGGTCGGCGCTGGGAGAGGATCACTTGGATTCACTGTGGTTGGAAGAGCGAAACTCAAAAAACCGGAGTGTGCAGAAGAACTTGTGGAAGTCGTCTGGATTGAACTGGTCTCGTATCCATTTAACTGGACGTTATTCACATTGATGTTCGTTAGATCTCTGGACTCGAACCGACGACCTGGTAGGCTCCGAGCTCTGTGGAAAGTAGGCGACTCGAGTGTGCTCCTCACAGTATGCAACATCTCTGTAGCTCTAAGCCTCGCTGAATCGGCGACCTTGATAAGCATCTTTGGTGAACTTATTCCCCTTTTTAGTTTAAAACGGCTGCGAAAAGTATTTCTTTTTTCTTGCATACCTAGTCTTTCGGTATCTTCTGAGGATCGCTTGCGAAACCACGTGGTAATATGCTTATCGATTGACAAACTTTGAAATAGAATCCAGTGGTATAAGGCGGAGAACAAGTGCGGACCGGTGAAAAGATGTAGCAGAGACCGTTTCAAGTGCTATAGCGTAGACTAGGGGAGTAATCAGTTAATAAAGGGTACGTTTTTGATCGCCACCATGACTTTGTGTTCATGTTTAGGGGACTACACTATTAGGGTGATACGATACCAAGTCAATGGCCGATAAAAAGAGTCATCTGGGAGCAACCGCGCATGGTTAGTCGTTATTTAAAGGTACAACTGAAAACAGGAAGAGTAACTCTCTATCAAGTATTAAGTATTGTTTCTATTGACTCCTGATCATACGTTGCTAGGAAGGAAGTGACATTCAACTGGTACAGATCGAGCCCCCGTGTTAGCTGATGCAATCCCAGTCGAATGGAGGGCAGAGAGAGATGAAAGGAGAGGGCGCAAAACGCCACTTGAGTGACGACAGATGATTCGTGGTGGATAACCGACATTTGAGGAACTCCTCACATGCAGTGATTGTGTATACTGCGTGTGTCCCAATTTTCAAGGGAGGCTCACGATCGGAATGCGGCAACCATAGAGGAATCAGTCTGATCTCCATCGCCTCCGAATTGCTTGCCTCTGTCATCCTTCACCAACTGTCCGCCACTCGTGAGTGCCAGATTCAAGAAACAATGAACAATGAATTTATACGGCTTAAGAAGCGTTTCTTTGGAAGTTCCGTTGGATAGTTGGTGAGAATATCGACAGAACAATAATGATAATCATGATAGCAAAACAGTTAGTACTTCAGATATGAAAATAAGGACTTATCGTATGCTCCTCCATAGTCCTGCAATCTCCGTCGCAACGAGACTTGACCTTAACGTGGTGCGACGGTTTGTGTACCTCCTTGACCCATTGAGCTATACTGGGTGGTGCCTCCGGGCCCGTTGATAGCTACTCCTACTAGGTTGGTCAATAGTGAGAGGTCAGACAATCTCAGTCTCCTAGTCCTCCAAGTTGGGGTTTTGAAATGGGATGGCGCCCATTTCTGTAAAACTAAAACTAAATAATTCCCACCTCCCCGCTGCCTTGCGGCCAGGATTTTAAGCCAAAGGCTTTGGAGGAGGACGCTAATCGCCCTCGTGCCTAGGTCTGGGCGCCCTGGCAGTATCTCAGCCCATATACAACCATGACTTTTTCTTCAAACATAAACTTCATCCTGCATCGGCCGTCACGCAGCTTATCAAGAGTCGCCTTATCTGCTGCATACAGCAGGGCGGATAAGCGAAAACATGCTACTAGTGGCCCCTTCCTTCTTTCTTTTCTACCTGTTTTACTCCCATGCCGACCCTCATTACTAACCTTCTTTCCATAATTCCCAGCTTAATTGATAGCAACTGAATTGCCACTGGAGAAACATCTGCAGCCAACTTCTCGCGACACGCACCAGACGCTTATCGACAACAGTCTGTTAGAAGGCCATGCTGTCCCGTTTACATGGCGATGCTCAACATTCGTCTCTAAAACAAATAGGTCAACTGGCTCCACTCGCACGCATCTTGGACACACTAGGTATTGATGTGTGTTGTGTGTCCGAAACTAGGATCAATGAGCTTAATGTGCTTATTGAATTAACTGCACCCGGCTTATCCTCTCGTTATTGGTTGCACGCATTTGGAGACGCCGCTGCAGCACTCACGGGTCATGCTGGTGTAGGTATCATTCTAAGCTCAAAGGCTGAGCCATCGTTGATTGATTGGATTCCGGTGAACAGTCGTTTATGTGCAGCCCGTTTGACGACATCAGCTAAGGTTGATTCACGAAGTAATACAAAACGCTGTTTGTTTGTGATTTCCGCTTATGCTCCCACTGACTGCAGTTCTAATACTGTCAAGGACACATTCTATCACGAACTGAACTCGCTACTACGCAGTGCTACTAGTTCAGATATTATAGTACTTGCAGGGGATATGAAAGCAAAAGTACGGCGTATGAGCTCTTCTGAAGCTCAGCTGTATGGTAATTATAGGCTTAACTCCGAACGGACTGACAACGGCGAGCGTCTGCTGCAACTGTGTGCGGAGCACCAGTTGTTTCTTAGTAGCACTGCTTTTAGACACAGTGGGCGCCGAAGTGCCATTTGACGTCCTCCTGTAGCTGGCCAGCGATGGACCCACATTGACCACATAGCCATAGTTTACGGGTGGCGTGGTTCTATCCTGGATTGCCGCTCGTACTAGAGTACCTGCGTCGACTCTGATCATGTCTTGGTACTCTGTGCTTTCTCCATGAACTTTACCGGGAGGAGCACCAAACGTCTCCTCCGATAGGCAACGTAGAAATTGTCTCAGCCCTCAGTCAGGCAAACCTATCAAGACACACTGCATACCGAACTTGTGCTGTCTTGTTCTAATAACACTGCACTTCAGCGGAATAGGATCTCGGACGCCATGCACGACGTAGGAGCACCTGCTTGTGGCACTATCAATCGTCACCGCGCCAGTCACTGGATATCCGAGAGGTCGGTGAACCTGTTGGAATCTAGAAGAAATCACCCGGCTGACTCTGAGCACAGTGTGACCAGACGGGCTATTAGGCGTGAACTAAAGCGGAGCCTACGTGCTGACAAGGAAGCCTGGTGGACCAGTAGGGCTCAAGAAATGGAGGAGGCAGGAACAGTAGGCAATTCCGGCAAGCTCTTCCAGCTGATCTGCACCACTGTCCCAGGAAAGCAAGCGTCAGTGAGACAACCAGAGGCAGCGCGGGTGCACTGATACACCATAAGAAGTATGGCTCGTTGGGCGAAACACACTTCAGATCAGTTCAGATGGCCTCTTTCTCCCGGAGCTCTTCCTATTCAGGTGATGTAGGACGAGCCATGGACGGTTAGTTTAGAGCCTCCGTCGGAGGCCGAGGTCCGAAACGCGATCACAGCCCTCAATCGTTTACGTGCCGCTGGCCCGGATTCCCTCCCACCTGCACTATTTAAGGATGGAGGTGAGGTCCTCTGCAGGGCACTGACCTCCCTATTCGAACGTATCTGGAACGAAGAGAGTGTGCCAGCTAATTGGAGCGAATCGATTATAGTGGCAATATACAAGAAGGGCAGTCGCACAGACTGTGCGAACCACAGGCGTATTAGCCTAACGCCAGTTGTGACAAAATTACTGGCCTCGATTATCGTTCGTCGCCTCACTGCAGAATGGGGATTTCGGATTAGGGAAGAGCAGGCAGGTTTCCTCCCAGGACGTGGCTGTATAGACCATATATTCACTTTGCTGCAGGCACTAGAGCAGCGCCACGCACACCGCAGATCGACAATAGCTGTGTTCCTCGATTGCAAGCGTGCGTTCCATTCAGTCGATCGATGTATTCTGTTCGAAAAACCTGCTCGGAAAGTTGTTCCCACCAAATATGTGAACATCCTACGTGCATTATACTCGAATACTACAGGTTGTGTCAGGGTCTACGTTGACCTGTGGATAGCTTTCCGATAAAAAATGGCCTTCTTCGGAGTTGGGTGATTTCCCCATTTTTGTTCAATTTCGTCGTGGATTCTATAATGGAGTGTTTCCTTCCGGAATATCACGATGTAAGCGTTGTACTGCCTGGTAAACGATTAGTTGATCGTGATTATGCGGTCGATGTCGTCTTGCTTTTTGACGATGAATAGCCAGTCTAGAGTGGTCCCATTAGTTGGTATGCACTTCGCACCTTCAAAGTGCAACTTGTTGCTGCAGGACCACGAGCCAATTTATGACCCCTTGAGACTTGCTAACGAGGAACTCGAGGTGGTTGATCAATTCACTTAACTTGGCAGCCGCATCAGCAACGATGGCGCATAGAAACTGACATAAGCTCACGCATTACAAAGGCCAGAGCTGTCTTCTTGAACCTGCGGCATCTTTGGAGAGTGAAAGAAGTCACCCTCCTTCTGAAAGCTCGTGTATACAAGGCCACAGTGAGGGCCGTCCTACTCTATGGTACTGAGACTTGCCCCTAAGGGCTGAAGAGCTGAGGCGTCTTCAAGTCTTTGATCATCGTTGTCTGCGAAGTATTGCTGGTGTCAGATGGCACCAGAGTGTCCGCCACGTTGATGTGTGTAGGCGAGTACTAGGTAGTGATAGTCATGCTAGCTCCCTAAAACGACTAATAGCAGTGAATAAGTTGCGTTGGCTCGGGCACGTGCTATGTATGTCTGGTCACCGCTTACCTAGGAGGGCCTTGTTTTGTCCGCCAGATGTATAGTGGCGCAAGGTTCGAGGTGGATAGAACTTGACTTGGAAGTGGGAAATGAAGGCACTGACGACCAAACTGGGTGCCGTTGGTCCGTCGCGCCTTCTGGGCCGGAGTCCACGTGATTCGCCTTGTGCTTGGCTCGAGACGTTACCGGACATGGCTCGCAGTTGGCACCAGTGGCGCGTCTACTGCCGTCTCCCAATCGGATTGCCTGTTTAAAGTATGTTTAGTGCTGAGTTATCTGCGAGGTAATGGCTGATTATGACGCGGGGCAGTGAAAGCCACAAGGAAGCTGTCTCGCCGATGTCACCTTACCTTTACACGATAGCCAGCTGCTTGTGACGGTATGTTGTCTACACAAGGTGTAGGCGCCTTGACTCGGAATGTTTGCTTAGAGCATTAAGGTTTTCAGGGCAAGTCCCCCCTTCTTTCCCTCTTCTGATCCTTTATTTAAAAGGTCATCGTGGTTGTATGGCAGCGAAGCATCAATTCAACTGGCTGATGTACTGCTGTTTTTGATGATGGTGAGTGGTGCAATCCGCTTAGATTCACAGCATCCGCAATTAACATCAAATAATCCCATGGTAAACTCCAGGTGTGGCATG